CACGGTGGAGCGCCCGTACGCCACCTCCAGGAACCCGAGTGTTGCGCTTGGGCATCGCAAAGAGGATGCGCATGAACACTCCCGACTGGCTCCTTCAAGCAGCAACACCCTTAGTTGGTGCCAAATTCGATGACCAAGAAAGACCGGAACATTAACACAGTTCACGGAATGGATATATGTATTCCACCGGCGCCAACAGGCAACTTCAATTTTATTGCTCCGCCCGACAGCGGAGTTGAAGCCCGAAGAGCGTCATTGGCCCCGAGACAACATGTGCACTAATTAATGGTCTAGATAAATCGCGTGGTTTTTTACCTTCTCCGTAGTAGTAGAGCTCACGAACCATGGCTGCCTCCACAACCCTTTCGTTCGCCCTCCTTTCCGCTTTCCTCTTCTGCGCCTTCGTGCCTTTCGCGTCGGCAACTTCGGTCAACATCACCCGCCCGGCCTATGTCGCCTTCCGCGACGTCAACACCTGCATGCAGGCAGCCATCGCCATCGTGAAGAACACTGACTGCAACCCTCAAGTCTCTTGCTCCTCGGACCTCACCGTCTACCTTACTTCGTGCTCGACCACAAACTACGAGCTCCTCGGCTTCAACGCCACCTACTACCTCGACTACCAGTACAACACCCACTACGTCGCCCAGGGGCTTTCCATCTACTACTCTTCAACGAAGCTCTTGTGGACCTTCGCGACTTCCGACGACCTGCTCAACTTCTACTCCGCAGCGATCTACAACAGCACGTGTAACACGAACGTCAACAAGACGTCCCTCTCCCTCGTGATGACCACCCCCGCCAATGGTGCGCGCTGCACATTCGCCACCTCGACGCTCCTCCCCTTTGTCAGCTTCAAGTCCGTGACCGGAGCTGATTCTGAGTTCATGAGTGCTCTGTAACTGTAATCCGAGTACCTGTGTACACCAATTTGGCCTTCTTGCAAAGAAGAAGATTTTGCATTACTTTGTTTCTTCCAGGGGTAGATTGAGTGGAAAGCAGACTAAACGGCCCCAATTTGGATATGGAATCCCATCTGCTCCTCAGGGGCTCTCACTGGGGCTAGTGGGCGACCTGTGGTGCTTGAGTTGAAGTGCCTCTGAGGTGGCTTCTGGCACAGCAGTGGCATGGGCAACATGGTGGGTGAGAGGGTGCTGGTGATGTGGCTGTGAGTGACTCCAACACCAAGCACTTCTGACTGCTCCATACCTCAGGGTCAGCACCTTGGCAGTGGAGGGAGGCAGGCATGGGCCAGCCAACAACCAGCATCACCATGGGCCAGATCATTCTGGACCCCACAATGAAGTGCATGTGGGATAATGGTATTCCATCCTTGTTGTGGCTGAGCATCCACCCAGGGTGAAACCTACCACATGCAGAACAGGCAATGGCCCCTCATGCTCATCAGTCACTGTGAGCAGGGCTGCAGTATTTTGAAGTAGCCAGGTGGTGTCACTTGTGTTGGGTGTGACCACACTTTGTACCTTGAAGTGCTTCCATCCTCTCTGCTCTCATCACTCTCCACACCCTTCCAATGGTCATGTTAGACAGGGATGAAGCAGAAGAAAAAGGGCACAAAAAATGAAGACATTGGCCAATGCCCTGTTGTGTCATGTCATGTTTCATTTTCTTGGTTTCATTGGCCCTTATATTGTTGCAGTGGAGAGGCCAGGAAATTACTGGGCAGGCATGCCATTCTATTCCTAGACAAAGAGATACCAGTCATGCAGACATGTGTCCAAAAGCCCACCCATTCCTGTATGTGTATGCTAGTGTTGGTGATTTGCACTCTGTCACACCAAAGCATGCTTTGCCAATGATGGCACCACCACATTGGGGTCATTAAAAACCCACTACTACAGGACAACTGCAGCTCTCATCAAACAGTGACTTTCAGTGGGTCCACTCACTGGGCTTTGACCTGACCAGGGCTGCATGCACACCTGTAATTGTACTGAACTTAATTTTGCCTAGCCACACTGCCCAGTTGATTGTGGTAATGGGTTATATATTTGTTGTAGATGCTTGAGTATCCATGATGAAGACAGGGACACCATGGTGGGGACAGCAGCAATGACAGGGACTGCAGTGGTGATGGGGCAAGGAAGGCAATAGAATGGAGGAGTGAGGAAGTTGAGTATCTATGTTCATGGTTGTCCTCATCAGTGGATTCCTATGCCTTATGAAAAAGTTACACTGACCCTTTTTTCATGAACACCTGGTTTGGTGCTCAGCAACCTGCTGCAGGCAGGTAGCAGGGTGGCTGGGCACATATGTGGGTGGGCAACCAGCAAGGTTAAGGATACAACTGTCTTGCTGCTACTTCCACTGTGGCTTGCCACTATTGGTGCGCCTCCATCCTTGTGTGCACCAGTGTAGTTGCACAAACAAGGTGCACACTGGAGGTGAGTTTTGTCATTCCTGAGTCTTACCCACCCATGCTCCAAACACTGGCTGCTGTTGCACTATGCTGCCATGAGTCTTGGCTGCTCCTTGAAACACAAGCGTGTGGTTGAGGCTTGGCTGCTGTGCTGCACTGCGCCACACTAGCCACCATGAGCTTCTGATTGTGATCTTTTTGTTGTGCTGGGCTACACTCAGGCATGTGGGTGTTGGCCTGCGCCCCAGCCTCAGCCTTGGCGTTGGTGAGGCAGTGTGCACTTGTGCTGGCATGTGGATGGCAGGTGTTTGCATGAGCTTGCCAGTGGTGCCACAGCATCAGCAGCACAATGAGCATTGGTGCCACTGTTGATTCACTGCTCAGCCCCAGTCTTGTTTGGTGGGGTTCAATGCAGATGTGCACATTGCTGCCACAAAAAGAACTAAGCAGGTTGCACACACAACACACAGTCTATTGACATGGGTCCCATCCAACAGGATATGTGATGTTGTGTGTGTGTGCATGCATGTGTGAGTGTGTGGGTGGTATGCTGGGCATCATACCACCCACCACTTGGTCATGATGGAGTCAGTCAGCTTCCACAGAAAAAAGACCACTGAGGATAAGAGAGTAGCATGTGGCCAGTCAAACATGGCCAGTCGCCTGCAATGTAGGCCTCCAGCAAGTGCACCCCAGTCTTCTGGCCTCACACTTACCATCTGGTACCCCTTGAAATTCAACAGCACCACACAACAACATCACAACACGCCACATGACCACACACAGGCATCAATTAAGAAAAGAGCAGGCCACTTTGCATGTGGACAAGGTGTGTGATCTTGGGCCAGTCAGCCAAGGTGGTTGCAGCGCTCTGATGGCCATTGTCTGTGCATTGCATGTGCACATGCACATGTGTGGTGTGGTGTGTGGTGTGTGGCATGTGGTGTGTTGTGTGTGGTGTGGTCCTTCAGACCATGAAGACCACTCACCTGGCTGGGATCCATGTCATCGCATGCATGGACAAGGACAGCATTGCACAAGTTCACAGATACAAACTGCATCACAAATGATGCATGGATGGTGTCATTGATGTATTGGATTGCCAGCAAGTGCTCAGTCATCATTGGCCCCCACTCCAGCCACGGGTTTGCCTGCTGCACCCTCAGCAAACAACATGTCCAGATCCATCATTCAAGCACACACCAAAGACCAAACCCAAACCAACAAACCACAAGTTTGTGCAGTTTCAGCAACTGCTCCTGGGCATGGATGTGACCAACAAAGAGCTCTTGGAGTATGCCATCACTGAGATCAAAACTGCGGAACTGCAACAAGCCATCTGTCTCAACAACATCAAGAAACAACCAATAGGGTCAGATGACAACTACAACAGCTTCCTCAAGAGTGACTACAACAATG